TGACCAGAACATCTCCTCACCAGGAATCATCACCCAGATAAGCAGAGATTAATGCCAAGATTATCACCAGACAATCAAGCAGTAAACAATACCCTAATCAAGGAACTATGGGGGAGGGGGCGGTGGGGGGAACCATCCCCACCAACACCGGCAGGGCAAGTCACTGTATATAAACAGAGAGCAAACCCCACTCCATACTAGCACTGAAGATGTTACCTAGCCAGGTAATGAAACGTTTTTTGATTTTATATTGAGCAACAGATTGGCTTTTGCACTTCTGTCTTTTCTTTAGCAAGGAATTTCTTAATTCTTCCTTATTTCCAGCTATCTAAATTGTTCCTTCTGTTTCTCCACCATTTCTTGTGATATATTCTACATAAATTGGTGACAATATGCAATCTTGGCATCCTCCTTTCCCAATTTTGAACCATTTAGTTGTTCCATATTCCGTTCTAACTGTTGATAGCTAATCACTATCATTTCTAGCAAAAATTGCCCTTGTGTTTCCAGGCAAAATGTTCTTCCTTTATATGCAGTCTAAATCAACAGCATCCTTCCCTTTGAACACACTTTATTTTCTCTACCTTCACACATATACATTTTATACACATTTTTTTCTCATATACATACGAAACACAGTTTCTTCTATTGTCTCCCCTATATCTTACACACATGTGGGATTCCTGGCCTTCTTTATTAAGGTTATCAGATCCAGGCCTCAAAAATCTTGATGAGTTTTTCCTTCTCTTTGCTGCTATCTAGTGGTTGTCCAGAATACAGAATACCTCTGAAGCTCTAGTGGCCTGTTTCTCATAATGAGATGGGAGACTGTCCTTGCATGGGGGGTCAAGACTAGCATCTAACCAACTATTGGCCACTCAAGGCTGCTAAGAGTATGGCCCCTCCCCTCCAGTCACTGGACACAGCCCTCCATGGCCGTTTTGAGTCTCAGGAGAGAAGAGACAGCTGGTTTCCACAAAGGCATCTGTCTGTGCAATGCCTGACCTCTAGTTCAGAAAGCACTGTTAAGACATTATGTGGACTGCAAATACACACTGGTATTT